ACAATTGCTTTTTCATATGTTGAAATTCTTTCTCCTTCTAGATAAACACAATTGATGAATATTGGTATTGGTTAGAAAATAGTTTTGTTGATAATATTCGTGCACAACAATGATATAATGGAGATATTCCACAATATTTAAATGGATTTATAAATAATAAATCTAATCGATTAATTGGTTGGGCAACAATGAGACAATTACGTGTTAAATCAGAATTATGTCTTGATCAACGTATTATTTCAATATGTGAAGATAGTTATAGTTTTTCTAATGAAGAAACACAATTATTTCAACCAGGATGGACAACAAATGAAACAATACAATATGGAGCATATGGTTCATCGATTATAGATGCATTTAACTATTCTACGAGTGATGAACTGGATACATATACATATGTAGGTGAATTTGGAACATATAGAGGAGGTGGTTATGTATATGAATTTCGTAGTTCTTTATCTGATTTCAAAACAAATTTATCTGAACTTCATCAATTAGGTTGGATTGATGAAAAAACAAGAGCTATTTTTATTCAACTAACATTATATAATCCGAGTGTTCAATTACTTACTGCAGTTACTTTACTTGCTGAATTTTTACCAACAAGTGGTGTTTTTACAACAGCCCATTTCGAACCAATTGATTTTTACAGTAATCTATTCCTTACTGTTTATCTCTAAAGATAAATAAATTTTTTTTTTAATTTGTTTTAATTTAGCATTTACATCAATATTACAATTAGTTTGTACAATTATTTACATATTTTTTATTATTTATATTTTATTATAATTAAAATTCGATTATTATTAGAATTAAGATTAAAATATTTTTATCAATTTTGGTCATTAATTCAATTAGGTATTATTGGTTGTTCATTAGGAAGTATTGGAGTTTATTTTTGGCGTTTTCAAGAAACTAATCGTATAAGTCAATTATTTGAACAAACAAATGGTTATATTTATATTAATTTACAAGTTGCAGTTTATGTTAATGATATTTTAACATTTCTTCTTGGTTTTTGTTGTTTTTTTAGTATGATTAAATTTGTTCAATTATTTCGTTTTAATCAACGAATATCTTTATTTGCTGAAACATTAAAATCTTGTGCAAAGAAAGTGATTTCATTTTCAATAATGTTTGCAATTGTATTTATGTCATTTGTTAGTTTATTTTATTTGTTATTTGTATCAAAACTTTCGTCGTGTTCAAGTTTGTTAACAACTATTCAAATGATTTTTGAAATGACATTAAGGAAACTTGATACATCAGAAATAATTGAAGCTGATGCTTTTCTTGGCCCAATTTGTCTCGCATTATTTGTGTTGCTTGTTGTTTTTGTTTGTTCAAGTATGTTTATGTCAATTATTATTGATAGTTTTCATCATGTAAAAGAAAATCATAAGGAAGATCAAATTACGTTATCATTTATGCTAAAGAAATTTTTACGATGGACAGGTATGTAGATTTATGATTTATCTAGACGAATAACGATCCCATCGGTATTTTATAGCAGATTTAATAGAATCTCAAGATTGTAATCTAGACTTCAGAGGTTCCTTTGTGTGCCATCTATTTTCATAATTTTCTTTTAAATGACAGATGAATGCGTCGAGTTTTTATTTATGTGAACAAACTTGAAAAATATTAACTTTAACTGAAATACAAAACTTTCATTTATTTTCTATTTCAAGCAAAACGTACCATAAAAAGTCAAGAAGAGTACGACTAAAGAAAATAATTTCACATCCTCTCTCAGAATTGATGTAGCTCAATAGAACGTATTTGTTTATTAATATTTCAGGTTTGAAAAGATTAAATGAATTAGAAATTCAAGAAGAACGAGATTGTCGAATGCGTTCACAATATTTTGATCCAATTGAAAATTTTCCTGATAAAATGGATCAATTTCTAGAAGCAGTTAACAAAGTATGTAAATATTCATTGGATTTTTATTTATAATTCTTTGGATTTTTTAGATTTACGTTAATCAAAAAATCGAATTGTCAAGACTAGAAAAAGCTGGACTCTAAATATTATTCTTTTAAATAAATGACTCATAATCATATAATGAACTCTGAATAAGTTTTAAATCTTTTTCTATTTCGAAATAAATCATTATAACTGATCATATATTCTATATCTGTAACGTAAAACTATACGATTTTAATTCTCGAAAAAATATAAATATGTCGAAAAATTGGATTGTATACATTTTAACATCTATTGATAATGAAATATCTCGCCTTTCACCACTATTTAAAAATACTTTTAATATTTAGTTTAGATTTTAGAGAATGTTTTCTAACATCAAGATCTTTTCCTTCACGCAATTCTTAGTGTAGAGGTGTGAATTCACCTTTATTTTTCCCACATCCTCGTGCTATAGTCCTTACAATAATCGTAATAATCTTAAAGTTATATCATATATTTTCTGTTCCGTTATACTATATTCCGTATATACCAAAATTTTATTTGTAGTCTCCTTCTATCTACTAAAAAATTCTGCTGACTCTAATCTTCTCGAATTTCATTTACTCGAAAATCTTATATACTTAGGATAATCCAAAAGTAGTGAGGAAGATACCTTATTTCCTTAAATAGCGATCAAAAAATTTATCTTTTTTATCAGTTTATGAATCGCCTTTTGCTCTACTTTTTATTTCATCAGATCATTATTCAACCATTATATAACAATAATAAACTTTCGATAAAAATTTTCTTGTGTCACTCCAATTGGTAGCAATAGTGCATATTTTCATTATTTAAAAGATTTCATTATAAAACAAAAGGCTTCACGAGGTATAGCGGGAATAGTTCTACAGTTTATATAATTAAATCTATTGCAACGGTTTTAAAAAAACGCCAAATATTATGCTTCCGAATTTCGCACGATCAAATTTCGATCGTTTAAAGTTTTATCCAGTTTGAAAATAATGAGTGCGACTATACAAGAAAGATGATTTTATGTAGATGGTAGAGTTTCTCACATTGCATCTTGTAGTGTTGTTGGGTTTTAATAGCAACTATTAGATGATGAGGAAAAAACAAAGGAGACATGCACGGATGATAATATACATTATGCATGAAAAAATAGAGCGGATGATGCTCTATACATTAATAAATAAAAGAAATTTCTTTTATTTCTGCTTGAAAAAATAAAAAATAAACCACTCTCACTTCTTTTAAATTGCTCTAGGTATTTTTAATTTCGCCTTTAATATATTGTATGGGAATGCATTATCGTTTGCTATTCATCTTTGAACATCTAACAAATAACAAAAGATGTTGGGTTTACGCTTATGACATGACAACATTTTATTTAAAAACTTGAATTCTTTTACCTATACGGTGTACTAGAGCATGATCAAAGTTTTTTGTCAGAAAATTAGTTAGAACATCAAACAACATGTCACAAACAAACATGGTCATTTAACGAAAAAAGCATACAGAAAACTAACTAAGAGCTGAAAACAACAGAAAATAAAGAGAACTAATAGAGTTTTGTAATGTGGTTGTATGTTTTCTTTTGCGAAATACTACTTTTGATCAGAACATTCTAAGTTGAATGTCTTGACAGAGACTCAATGATAAAAAGCTACCGCACATAATTAAAATGAAAAACTTCAGTAGAGTAGACACAACATGCAGAAGAAAAGAACACGACATAAAATCAAAGTGTTTAATATAGAGTTTTGACTGAATACAATTACCTCTCCTTTAGATACTGACTTTCGAATCTTAACGAATCCGATTGTCTTAGAGTTAAAGAAGTTCTTGTGCTGTTTCGATGGTAGCTACCCGAATCGTCGGTACGACTTGATTCATTCCAAATATTGTTCTACATGCTTTCATCCACACTCTTTCCATTCGTTGTCGGAATTTTGATCTTAACTCGGGTTGATTCAAGAAAATTATAAATACTATGGCCAACTGATATACTGTCGTGAGATTTGCTAAAAAAAATTCCAACTCTTCTGAAGTGCCAGTTAAAGCGTCAGGAAATGTTGCTCGAAGTGCTTGACGAAGTGCCCATGGCAGGTCGGTTATAGCAAAGAAAATTATAAGTGGTAAAAATTGTATGAAAAGTTTCCTTGTGCATTTCCATGTTTCCTGTATTGTTTGTCGCTTGTTAATGTTAATGGAATTTGCTGTAAGCATTCTCACTGTTTGGTGTTTATGATAAACAACGTGTTCAATTAGAAGTAGATCGAAAATGATGATTATAAGAGCTGGTATCGTGTAACTGATAGTTAAAGCAACA